AAAAAAAAAAAAAAAAAAAAGATTGTGTGAAGTGTGTTAAGTTTAACTCTGTGCTGTTACAGACAAACACTAAGCAACTCTAAAGCCGTAATTAAAATTGTGTTAAAAAGCAGAGTATAACAGTTAAGAAATGAATGATTTTGTTTTGGGGATTATTGTACTTTATTTTTATATACTTATGGGGTACAAGAACAGTCTTGCTGCATGAATCTATTGCATTGTGGTGAAGCCAGAGCCTTCACTGCATCCATCACTGGAGTAACCCACATTGTACCCACCAAGCAACCTCCCATCATTCACTCCCCTCCCACACCCCTACCCCTCCGAGTCCCCACTGTCTGTCATTCAACATCTGCTTTCAAGTGTACATTATTTAGCTCCCACTTATGAGTGAAAACATGCGATATTTGTCTTTCTGTGTCTGAGTTGTTTCACTTAAGATAATGGCCTCCAGCCGGGCTCGGTGTCTCAGCCTGTAATCCCACACTTTGGGAGGCCGAGGTGAGTGAATTGTCTGAGCCCGCAAGTTCGAGACCCACCTGAGCAACTTGGCAAGAAAAAAAAAATTAGCCAGACATGGCGGCATGTGCCTGTAGTTTCAGCTACATGGAAGGCTGAGGCAGAAGGATCGCCGGAGCCCAGCAGGTCGAGGCTGCAGTGGCTGGAAGCGGCCACTGCACTCCAGTCTGGGCAACAGAGTGAGACTCCAACTCAAAAAAAATAAATAAATAATAGCCTCCAGTTGTATTTGTGTTGCTGCAAAAGACATGATTTCATTCTATTTTATGGCTGAATAATATTCCATCGTGCACGTATACCACATTTGCTTTATCCAGTCCTGTTGATAGACATTTAGGTTGATTCTAAATCTTTGCTATTATGAATAGTGCTGAGATAAACATATGAGTGCAGGTATCTTTTTGATATAATGATTTCTTTTCCTGTAGGTAGATACCCAGTGGTGGGATTGCTGAATCTGAATGATGTTTTAGCTGTGGGTTGTGTTATGCCAAAAAAAGCTTTAAACATACTACTTCTAGATTTTACTATTATTCTATTAAGTTAAAGCCAATATTCCAGTAAATGGCACCCCACTGGGAAAAAAACACATAGTACGTTCATATTCTCCTTTGTAAAAAATAACTATTTTAAATAAGATTAAATACTCAATGACTTTGTTTTGTGTTTATGATTGGAATGTTTGAACACAAAAAGAATCCTCTATGAATCCTATAACTTGCACTTTCACTCAGTGTAGGGAGCTATGTAGATTAGTACATATCAGTTCACTCATTCTTTTTAATTCCCTATAGATAGATTGATGACTTTTTCCAGGTTTCAGATATACAACTGTTCATCTCAGCTTGTCATGTTGTGTATAATGTATTTCTGTAAAGTGGAAAATGAGAAGCAGAATTACGGGGTCACAGAGTATGCAGTCTTTGGTGTTAACAAATCTGCCCTCCAAAGTAGGGCAACATATACTCCCATCAAGCATGCATGAAATAACCACTTTTTGTACATCCTCACCAATACCTTAAAATTTTTGCCAATTGATGAGGAAAAAATATCTCATTATAATTTGCATTTCCCAGATTACTAGGGAAGTGGAATATCTTTATTGACCATTTGTTTTCTTCTTTTTGAATTGCTTTATATCCTTTGCCCATTTAATTAGGTTATCTTTTTAAATTGATATGTGCATGTTCTTCCTACTTCTCTAGTAGTAATCCTTCATCTATCTTATGTGTCACAAATTTCTCCCCATTCTGTGGTTGTCTCAATTTTGTGAGGTCACTGGTCAAACAGAAATTTTTAATTTTTGTGCAGTAAATGTATCAGTCTTGTTTTCAGTCTCTATTCTTTGTTTCTCAGCCCTTGTCCTCCAATTAACATTCATCATATAAATATTTGTATTATTACAAAGTTGCATATGGAAACTGCTCCAGGAACTTTAAGTTAAATTTCCTTTTCAGGACTTGAATATGATTTTTGAACTTTATAATCAGAATGGTTAGGAGTAAAACTTTATCCCACATTACAGCTCTAATTTAAGTCTACAGTGCTATAAACTTGAGCTGCTTTTATGAAGGAAGTGATTCCAAAAAGATTGTTTTAGTTACTTATGGGAATATAGCATATTGTTCTAGAATTATGGGAAACTAAAAAGAATAATCAAATATAGTCTCTGGTCCTCAGAAAGCTTATAATTTAATTAAAGGCACATACAAAAAATAGGTATAAAGCTATTTTAGAATACTATGGGATAAGTCAAGTGGTCCTGACAAGTTCAAGAAGAATTCAGGTGTGAAAAAGGCAAAGATGTGCATGTTTAGACGTGAGGGAGGGTTAAGATCTGGAAGCAAAAAGACCATCGAGGAGACTCCTAAGGTAACGCAGGTAGTGGGGAATAATGGCACAGATTTCAGGAGAAATTAAAGGTGACTGGAAAATGGTAAAATCACTGACAAATAAGGAGTTAACAAAGAAGGAGAGAGGATGGTCTTTAGGCATATCTACAAGTTGGCTTTTGTGCAGAAGACACAAATACTTGTGTTGACTGAAACATAAACTGGGTTGTTTTGTTTTCAGTAATCTCCAGGCACAATTGAAGATTATTATCTATCTTCTTAGCAGACCAATTATTTTAGACCCAATGGGTTTTGGTATTTTTATTTTATTTATTTATTTATTTATTTTTATTTTGAGTCAGAGTTTCACCCTGTCTCCCAGGCTGGAGTGCAGTGGTATGATCACAGCTCACTGCAGCCTTGACCTCCTGGGCTTAGGTGCTCCTCCTTCCTCAGCCTCCCATGTAACTGGGAATATGGTGCATTCTACCACCCCTGGCTAATTTTTTTATTTTTGTAGGGACAGGGTCTCACTATGTCACCTAGGCTGGTCTTGAATTCCTGGGCTCAAGCAGTCCTCCTACTCGGCCTCCCAAAGTGCTGAGATTACAGACATGAGGCACCACACCCAGCCAATTTTTGCATTTAACTTTAGAAATCAATCATTTATTAAAGTTATATTTTTAATAGATTAAAAATTACTTGAAACACCTTATAGTGCCTGGTTTAGTTGATTTATTGGATGATAAATCAACTAGTCTTCCGCTTTTACTGAAATAAGTAAAAATTGTTTACCAAAAGCCACTTTGTTCTTTTCTTTCAGAAATCTAGCTATTCTTGGTGCAGGACTGATGGGAGCAGGCATCGCCCAAGTCTCTGTAGATAAGGGGCTAAAGACTATTCTTAAAGATGCTACACTACCTGGACTTGGCCGAGGACAACAGCAAGTGTTCAAAGGGTAAGCTTCTCCTGCCTCTGCCAGGAGTTACAGTGTTTTTTTGTTTCTTGGGGGTTTGTTTTTGACTGTTGTTGTTTCGCCATTATAGATTCCTTTTTCCTGAACATAATGAGTACTAGTACATAGTGAAGTCAGGTTTCTTAATTTTTAGAAATGCTAATTCCTTCTTTCACTTCATTTTGTTATATAGATTATAGACCATTAACAGCATTGGAGTCTGTAGTCTTTGAGTGCAAAAGCGAAAACCTTGTCCTTTAAGTTTGAGCATAAAACTGCACTGAAACCAACCCCAGTATGGCCAAGCTGCTGCTCCATCTTTTCCCTCTGCAAAACACCTAGAATATATGTGGGGTGAGAAAGCAGGGGAGGAGGGAGAATAGCATTCCCCTTTTATTAATTCAGAGGTAAGACAGAGACGGTCTGTAAAGACTGACATCATAGACTAATCCGTTCACTGATTCCCTCTGAGACAGGATCTCACTCTGTTGCCCAGGCTAGAGTGCAGTGACATGATCGTAGCTCACCGCAGCCTCGATCTCCTAGACTCAGCTCGTCCTGTCTCAGCCTCATGAGTAGCTGGAACTGCAGACGTGCACCCTCACACCCAGCTAATTTTTTATTTTTTGTAGAGACAAGGTCTCATTATATTGCCCGGGCTGGTCTTAAGCTCCTGGCCTCAAGTGATTCTCCTACCTTGGCCTCCCAGAGTGCTGAGATTACAGAGGTGAGCCACTACTCCAGCCTCTAGTGGGTATTTGTAAATGCCATTTAATTTATGCTTTAGTATCAGGCTAGAAATTCTCAGGTCTATGGATTTTGCTATAGTTCGCATGTAATTGCTGTATCATGGATTATTAAACAGCGTGACTCTGTCCCTATTGAGAGGACATGTTGGGATGCGAGGAATTGTGCAGTAACTGCAGCATGAGGGCATGGCTGGGATCAGAACTCGAACCACGTATTTCCTGACTGGCATTACAGAGGGAAGCAGTGAACAGATTAGTTCACGATGTCTGAGTCTTTACAGACCGTCTCTGTCTTACCTCTGAATTAATAAAAGGGGAATGTTATTCTCCCTCCTCCCCTGCCCTCTCACCCCACATATATTCTAGGTGTTTTGCAGAGGGAAAAGATGGAGCAGCAGCTTGGCCATACTGCGATTGGTTTCAGTGCAGTTTTATATTCAAACTTAATGGACAAGCTGGCTGCACTTAGACCATCCTGCATGACTTTTAGCTGAGTGCGCTTTTTTTTTGTTTCTTAAATGGATTATGTAGCTTAAGCATGTCGTTATCCCTTTTCTGCAGAGAAGCTCATATATTGCTACCTTGATGCTAACCAGGACCTGGCAGATTGTTGTAAGATAACAAGGAGCTGTCATAGAAGATTCTGACCAAAAAATGGCACTTGCTGGATAGCAGCATTGCCCTGAAACTGGCTTCCAAACATCCCAAACAGCATTTCATACAGTCACCAAAATAAGAAACTTTTGCTCTAGAATCGCTTCCTCCCTTGATCTCCTTTGGATACAGCCATCCTAGCCATTCCTTTTTGTCTTAGAAACATCTGGTTCTGCCGAGTGCTGCTCACCATACCTGTTGACTTGGGGCATGATATTTCCTGTCCTCTCCTGGAAATGGTTTCAACGGGCATTTGAATTATAGCAACTAATAATATTTTGAACTCCAGCAAGTATCTTTGGTGACTACTCTCATGGGTGTCTGAAACTGAAAGGTTTGAGCTCATACTTTTTAGATCTTATTTGAGTATTCCTTTACACATTTGGCTTTATTTTTACTCTTGGTTAAGGAAATCAGTGAATGGAGCTTAGCTTCATGCTATCCTCAAAGGAAAACTAAGTAATTTATTCTGAAAGTGTGGTCAGGTTGAACCTAAAAGAACCTGTTTTCTTAGCAATAAAGAATAATCAGTTAAATATCTGAGTAGCAGGAATCCTTTTTAGCTCCCTGTGGGAAAGAAGAAACCTTGAGTTAGTATTTTATATAATCAATTTATTGTGCCACTAAGTGTTGAGTAGGAAGTGGATTGCGAATGTAAGAAATAATGCTTGGTCTCTGTCTTCTAGAAGATTACAATTACAGAATAGCATAAACTGATGTGTAAGCAGGTAGAAAACCATGAACCATGTGGTCTAGGACACGCTCGGCTGCTCCCTCATTGTAGGCAGAGAATTACCAGAGCTGCTCTTTGGTTTTGCCATTCTGGTATTCATGTTATTTACCAGGGGGGACTCCCCCCAAAAAAACCCAGAATTTATTTATAAAAATTATGTATTTATTCTTACATGGTTTTTTTGTTGTTGTTGTTTTTTGAGTTGGAGTCTCACTCTGTCACTCAGAGTAGAGTGCAGCAGCCACTCCTGGCCACTGCAGCCTCGACCTGCTGGGCTCCAGTGATCCTTCCGCCTCAGCCTTCCAAGTAACTGGAACTACAGGCGTGTGCTACCATGCCCAGCTAATTTTTGATTTATTGTAGAGATGAGGTCTCGTCAAGTTGCCCAGGCGGGTCTCGAACCCGCGGGCTCAGGCAATCCACTCACCTCGGCCTCCCAAAGTGCTGGGATTACAGGCAGAGCCACCGAGCCCAGCCTATTCTTACATATTTAAACTTCGGTCACCTTCCAAGTACTCTCCATTTGATGCAGTACACTGATCAAGATGCTTTTTTCCACTGCTCATAACAGTTTTTAAACTTGTCAATCTCGATGCCTTTTAGTGCTTCTGCCATTTTTTGTTTTAACTATTCCGCACTGACAAAACATTTCCCTTTGAGGACTTTTTTCATCAGGGAAACAAAAAAAGGTCACTCATGTTGAGATCAGGTGAATAGGGATGGTGGGGCACAGAGGTCATGCCATCTCTGGTCAGAAACTGCTGAACACTCAGTGCAGTATGGGCAGGTGCACTCGTAAATCACCCATCATAAAATGTGAAAGCCATTGAAACAATCTCAAAGAAAACATTCACTGAAGCCAAACACAACCTCTCACAACAGTGCTAGCTGGCACACAAATGCTGATGGGTTCCTAGAACACTTACTTAATGAGGAAAGCCTGTTACTACAAAGCGCTCAGCCTCTAAAACATAATTCTGGGTTTTTTGGGGGCCCCTTCAAACTCCTCTTTGACCAGTTGAACTGATTTATGAGTGATACAGTTTCTGTGAGTTGGACATTTAGAGGCATTCTGTGGTAGAAAGATTGTACACTTGGGGTCAACTTGTCTCTGAATGCTAGCTCCCTCCCTTAACAAGCTGTTTGACCAACCGGGTGCGATGGTTCAAGCCTGAAATGCCAGCATTCTGGGAGGCCTAGGTGAGGGGATTGCCTGAGCCCACTGGTTAGAGAGCAGAACATGGTGAGATCTTTTCTCTACAATAAATCAAAAAATTAGCCAGGCATGGTAGTGCACACCTATAGTTCCAGCTACATGGAAGGCTGAGGCAGAAGGATCACTGGAGCCCAGCAGGTCGACACTGGGGTGGCTGTGAACATGCCACTGCACTCCAGCCTGGACGACAGAGTGAGACTCCAACTCAAAAAAAAAAAAAAAAAAAAAAAAAACAAGCTGTTTGACCACAAGTCCCTCTGAGCCTCTGGGACAACTCAGTTCCCTCAAAGTGGGAGTAATATAATAACTACCTCACTGTCTGGCCTATGGACAAACAATAAGTGTTAGTTTCCTTTTCTTCCCTTCTGACTAGGAATGTTTTTTCCTAGATTGAATGATAAAGTGAAGAAGAAAGCTCTAACATCATTTGAAAGGGACGCCATCTTCAGCAACTTGACCGGGCAGCTAGATTACCAAGGTTTTGAAAAGGCCGACATGGTGATTGAAGCTGTCTTCGAAGACCTTAGTCTTAAACACAGAGTGCTGAAGGAAGTTGAAGCGGTAAGCATGGGGCTGTTGAACTTGACTCCTAGTGTAGTGAGTGGAGGACACCGAGATGAGTTTTTTTTAAAGGAATTATAGGAAATTCTAACAGAACGCTTTATTTTCAAGCATGAGTGTTAATGTGAACTCTTGCACACTGAATATGCTATAAAGGTCAGATCCAAATCCTACAGGAAGAAAATCAAGTAGCTTATTACCTTAAGTCTTATTCATGTGGGAGTTCAGTCACCCAAGCCTACAGCTAACCTCATGAAGTACAGCCAGGTGTCTTGAGAGTCTTTGGGTTGGCTGCAGACCATAACCAAACCTCTTCAGGTCTAGACAGCAAAGGAAATAGGAAGAAGCAGCTTCTCCAGATGCTTGTTCTGTGGAATGGCTGCTCTGGTCCAGCTCCCAGATGCTCTACATCATCCACTCTTGAGATGGGATGGCATGGGCAGGATGAGTACTTGGAGTGGGTGGTAGAAGAGCAAGGAGACACAGCAATACTCCAGGTGTGAGGTAGGACCAAGCCTGACCCGCCTGCAGATAGATAATAGGAGGCGGGTTACCAAGTGAGGTACATGAAATGGTGCTGGCCTGGCAACGTGCTGGGCATCTGGAGCAGAAGGGTGTGAAGCAAGCAGTCCTTCTAAGGTACCCTTCCAGGTGGGGACAGGACAGTCCCTGCTCCACTAAAGACTTTAAGAACTAAAGACAACTCTGCTGGGGACAATTCCACTTGTACATTCCAAAATCTTTTCTTTAGACAGCGTGTAATGTGAGATTTAACCTAGGGAGGAATCTAGAAGCACTTGATAGACTTGGGCTAGATGGCATTTCCGCGTAGAGATTTAAGTGATGTTCCCAAGGCTTTGAGGGCACCGTTCAGCCAGGGGTAGGTAGATTCTTGGAACATCAAAAGCAGATGCAGCCATGGTGGAGAGAAGAGCATTCCCCACCTAGGATACAGATTTGCTTTTGGAAAATCTGGATTTGGGAGTACCAGAATGGAGAAAAGTTGGTTAGTTTGAGCAGTTGGGAAGCCAGTGGTCAAATAAAAGAAAAAGAAGAGGAATCATATCAAGAGAAGAGCAGACTGGAAACAAATCAACTACAAGCTTAAGGGAGAAAAGAGATGGGACAGAGCCTGGGAGATAAGGAGAAGGCAAAGACCAGGGGTTGGATGTGATCCTGCTGTTCACAGAGGGACAGAAACTAGGGTGTATAAGCAAGTAGAGACAAAGAATGCTGCTCAAGGAGTCATCGGTGTTTAGCAGATAGTAAGAGAAGAGATCCCAGCTTTGGGTAGAAAGTTTATTAATACAAGTAAAAGCCAAAATGTTATGTATATTACGGTTATTTATATAACATCAGGTACCCTAGTTAATGAAATCATCTAAGGTGGGAGATACTCAGAGAAGCTCTTCAGAAAGTCTGGAAAACAATGAAGAATTTTAGGCAGAGGGCCTCATGGGTGGTGTCAAGTCCATCCTCCCAACTGACCTTTGCTTTCTTTATATGAAAATGTTAGGGCTGATGGCCGGGCTCGGTGGCTCAGCCTGTAATCCCACGCTTTGGGAGGCCGAGGTAAGTGAATTGCCTGAGTCCACGGGTTCGAGACCTGCCTGGGCAACTTGGCGAGATCTCGTCTCTACAATAAAAATCAAAAAATGAGCCAGGCGTGGTAGCGCGCCTGTAGTTCCAGCTACTCAGAAGGCTGAAGCAGAAGGATCGCCGGAGTCTGGGCGACGGAGTGAAACTCCAACTCAAAATAAAGAAAAGAAAATGTTAGGGCTGAATCTACTGATAGTTATTCTTCATAGAACTAAACAAGATCCATTCCTTTGACATTCTTCCTGAAACTCTGAGTCTAGACCCTGTACCGCCATGGTTGTCCTTTTTAGTAACCTCATCCTGTCTCAATGTTCTGTTGCTGGATAACAAACCTCCACAGAATATGATGGCTTAAAAAAACTATCTTTTCACAATTCTGTGATTTGGGCAGGGCTCTGCCAAGACGGCTGGTCCATAACTCCATTGGTTTCAGGGCTGGGGTCACTCAGGGGACTGCATTCAGCTGGAAGCTTGGTTGGGGCGCCAGTGCTTCCCTTACGTGGTCTCCCTCTTCTTGTGGCCTGACCTCGCCTAGAGGTTCTCTACAGCATGGCTGCTGGCTTCCAAGAGAGCAGAAGCCACCAGAACTGGCAGGGGCACTTCTGCTGCATTTTTGTTGATAAAAACAAGACACAAGGCCAGCCCAGATTCAAGGAAAAGGGAAATGAATTCCACCTCTTGATGGGAGGAAAGACATGTGTGACCTCGCAGGAGGAGAATTATTGCCAGCCATCTTTGGAGACATTCGTTTGCCCCTCATAGAGGATTTTACCACCAACTTTAGATGCCACCACTAATAAAGCAGCCTGGGACTGTGTCCGCTTTCTTACAGTCATGCTATACTGTCGACTCACATGCCACTTTTGATGAACTAAAATCACGGGGTCTTTGTCTCAAATACTGCCAAGCCAGGTCTTATCTATCATGTCCCCATATAGTTCTTTTCTTTCCGTTTTTTAAAATCTCAATGTAGTACTTCACCTTTGTCTCCATTGTGGTTTATCTTACTTTATTCTCAGCTTTCAGTGTGTTAAATGTATCTTCAACCTTGACTCTCCTCTCTGTATTATGATTCTGTCTATCCCAGATTTGCACAAATTTGGCAGGTGTTCTTTCCCCATTTTTCATCCAGTCATCTGAATAAAAACACGAATGAGTTAGGATCATGGCCCGAATGCTGAGACAGTCTGCATTAAAGACTTCTCCAGTTTGATAAAGCTAATAGTTCATTGTATTCATGTACCGTGATATAATTATAGTGTTATACTGTTTTTTAGTTACACATATGTAAAATGAGATAGGCTTGCACATTATGGCTTGTTCTCACAAAAGTGAAGGGCAGGGAGTGTGGGGGAGAATTCATAAGCTTTCAGACTTGAGGGCAGATCCAAACAAGAGAGGTTGACACCCAGACTGGGTCTTGAATGAAAGGTGATTCAAAGCCATGTTTTCAGAGTTTGTCTAAGGAGACTTGTTGACCCAACTGATGAGATGGCTCCAGGTCAGGATTAGGTGGGGAAGAGAGCAAAGTCAACAACATATTCCCCAACACAAACACCCCTAGGTGAGCCGTAAGTGTCCAGGTGAGCAATATCTACTGTCTGAGCAGTTGTGGGTGAAGGAGTGGGCTGGGCCAGGTGTCACTCATTAGCCTTGCATGGCCTCTAGTCCTCTCTCAGACCTACATGACACTCATAAATGCTTTTCCCTGCAGGTGATTCCAGATCACTGTGTCTTTGCCAGTAACACATCTGCGCTCCCAATCAGTGAAATTGCTGCTGTCAGCAAAAGACCTGAAAAGGTAAACTCTGAACACAAGCATCCCTAAAGTGTTTTACTGCTTCAGGCTCGCTGATAAAGACTTAGAACTTGAGTAGAGAAGGGACTGGTGTGGATTATGAAGGATAGGGTGGTTCCCAAAACTGGGCACATAAAAGCTAATCCCATGACCAGTGTGAGATGCAGGAATACATTAAGTACAGCTAAGATACCCTCTGATAGGTGGTTTGCATCCTTGTTGGGTATTATTTTTCGGGTTTGGGTTAGAAAGCCTACCTTTATCTCACAATTAGGCACTGAGAGATAGGCCCCAAAAAGATCCCATTCAGGAGCATCCAAAAAAGATGTCCCAGAATATCAGCTCAGCTACAGAGCAGAGTTCATGACTGGTTAGGACAGGTTTGGTTCCAACTCCAGACCCAGGACTGGGAGGGTCAGCAGGCATGGTGGGGTGTGTCCACCCATGGCTTCGCTCACTCCTTCTCCCCAGGATGAGGAAAGGTGGGTGTAGAAGCCTTTTTAGTGTTTAGAATGCCTAGAAATTTAGTTTTGCTCTTAACCAGAATAATGAAGGGAAAGTGAACTCATTTGAGGAGAAATAAAACACCTCACTTCTCTAGAGGATACCAGTTAGCTTCAGCTAACCAGAACTAGCCAAAGGTAGGCAGGAATTACAGAAGCCCTTTAAGCAGCTGGAATTGTTAGGGCAGTCTGTGTACTAAAATGCGAAAACCTGTGTATTCATCCTCTCCTGGCTTGCATATGCAGGGTAGTCTAGCTTCCTAGCACACAGCAGATGAGAAGTGATGTGGGGCTTGTCAGACAGGCTCAGTGATGGCAGGAGACAGGTCAGAGGGAGAGATGGCAACGGAGAGTCTGACCATGAGGGAAGACACACAGTGCCATCACTGATAGAGTTTACAGCTGGACCTGTGCAGCATTTCAGCTTGGTAAAAGAGATTCCACTGCTGTTCATTTGCTGCTCACCTGTCCCCCAGTAGAGTGGAGCAGCCATCACACTTGGCATCTCTGCTGACCTGCTTGTCTTATGTCGTTCATGTAAAAGTAAGGCCAAAAGGGCACAAGTAGGATGCCCAGCAGTCTCGGTTTGCCCAGGGCTCAAGGCTTTCCTGGGACACGGGCTCCTCAATGCTACAACTGGAAAAGCCCCAACTACCCAGGATGTTGGTCACCTTTGGCACAACTTTCTGGGTGATGTCAAAATATTTTGCTGGGGGTAATATTTTACATGGGTGTGTATACAGTCGTCAGAATTCATCGAACTGAATGAACAGTTCAAGATCTGTGCATTTTATTGAATATTATACATCAATAAAGGCTCATTCCTTTTACTCAGGAGTACTGATTCTGAATCATGTCTTAAGCATTTTAGATATAAGAAAAAGAACAGTGTAGGGGTTAGAAACAACTTTTGGATTAGTATATTTACATTACATTTAATTGATCTGTATATTACATAATAGTAAATGGCCAGGCCTTGGAGATAGGCAGACCTATGGTGCAATTCCACTCTGCCATTTGCTGACTGACTCTGAGCTACTAACTTCTTGATGCTGTTTTCCCTATCTAGATAATTAGGCTGACCAGTTCACAGGGTTGTAATGTATTCAATGTAAGGAATAAATGATAAATGTATTTTTAAAAGGTATATAGTAAGCAGTCAATGAATTGTAGATATTACTAATTAATACCTTATAACTGAAGTAGAGGGAGAAGACAAAACTATAAATTAATAAAATTTCACGATTCTATTGTGAAGATACATAATTGTTAGTTTAGTTCAGGCACAGTGGCTCACACCTGTAATCCCCACATTTTGGGAGGCCAAAGTGGGAGGACTGCTTGAGCCCAAGAGTTTGAGACCAGCCTGAGCAATGTAGTGAGACCTTGTCTCTACAAAAAAAAAACATTAAAAATTAGCTGAGAGTGGCAGCGCATGAGTATAGTCCAGTAACTCAGGAGACTAAGGCAGAAGGATCAACTGAGCCCAGGAGGTTGAAGCTGCAGGGAGCCATGATTGTGCTGCTGCACTACAGCCTGGACAACAGTGTGAGACCCAACTCAAAAAAATAAGTAAATAAACAAGGAGGTTCTCAAACTTTAGCACTCTTTAGAATCACTGAGAGGGCTTATTAAAACACAGATCTGGGTGCCACCCGTGGAGCTTCTGATTCAGCAGGTCTAGGGTAGGCCTGAGAATTTACAGTTTATACATTCCCAGGCATTGCGAATGCTGCTGGGTCTGGGTATGACATTTTGAGAATCACTGGTTTAATAAGTCTTGTGAGCCCATTTGATTGTTGAGGAGTATTATTAGACCTAGTCCTGGTGATGAGACCCATCTGTGTAAAATGCAAATACATCTCTGACAGTCCAGTATATTAACTAATTCTTCTCCCTGTCCCTCCCCCACAAAATGGTTCCTCACCTAAACCATCAGCATCATTAATATAAGTGGAACTGAGCGCGGTGGCTCACGCCTATAATCCCAGCCATTGGGAGGCTGATGTGAGAGGATTGCCTGAGCCCACGGGTTTGAGACCAGCCTGGGCAACTTGGCGAGACCTCTTCTCTACAATAAGTCAAAAAATTAGCGGGTGTGGTAGCGTGTACCTGTAGTTCTAGCTACTTGGAAGGCTGAGGAGGAAGGATCGTGTGAACCCAGCAGTTGACACTGGGGTGTAGCCACTGCACTCCAGCCTGGGTAACAGAGTGAGACTGCAACTCAAAAAAAATAAATAAATAATATATAAGTGGAGGCTTCATCCATCCTTCCCCAATAAATCCGGTTTGGCCTTTAGCTGTGATTTTGGACTGACTGTTGGTAGGATGAGATGTCCTTAATGGAAGCCTTAGAAGCAAACGGAAGAGGAAGATTCCAGTATACTCATCCTGAACAAACTGAACTCTTATCAAAGAATGATGGAACCAAACTACTTGACTGTATCAGGCAGTGTTCCTGTATCACAACCACCATCCAGGCCAAATCGGTGCTGGCTATGCCCCTGTACTGGATTGTCACACGGCTCACATTGCATGCAAGTCTGCTGAGCTGAAGGAAAAGATCGATCGCTGTTCTGATAAGAAGCTGGAAGATGGCCCTAAATTCTTGAAGTCTGGTGATGCCATCGTTGATATGGTTCCTGGCAAGCCCATGTGTGTGGAGAGCTTCTCTGACTATCCTCCCCTGAGTCATTTTGCCATCCATGATATGAGGCAGACAGTTGCTGTGGGTGTCATCAAAGCAGTGGACAAGAAGGCTGCTGGAGCTGGCAAGGTCACCAAGTCTGCCCAGAAAGCTCAGAAGGCTAAATGAATATTATCCCCAGTACCTGCCACCCTAGTCTTAATCAGTGGTGGAAGAACGGTCTCAGAACTGTTTGTTTCAATTGGCCATTGAAGTTTAATAGTAAAAGACTGGTTAATGATAATGCATCGTAAACCTTTCAGAAGGAAAGGAGAATGTTTTGTGAACCATTTTGTTGTTTTTGTTTTTGTTTTTGAATGTGGCAGTTTTAAGTTTTTAGTTTTTGAAATCAATATTTTTTAATGGAAACAACTTGATCAAAAATCGGTCACAGAATTTTGAGACCCATTAAAACAAAGTTTAATGAGGAAAAAAAAAGCCACCTTTCCCTCCAGTGTTTTCCTAGCAGAAGAGGAATGTTGCTAGGTTCCCTCCCAGCATTCTTCAGCTATTGGCTTTTGGTTCCCTTGCCAGGTGATTGGCATGCACTACTTCTCTCCTGTGGACAAGATGCAGCTACTGGAGATTATCACAACCCAGAAAACTTCCAAGGACACAACTGCCTCAGCTGTAGCCATAGGCCTCAAGCAGGGGAAGGTCATCATTGTGGTTAAGGTAAGGGGCTGTGTAACACAGTGGCATATTTTTAAAAGGTCTAAGAAGACACTTTTTTTTTATCTCCAGTCTTTTTTGTTGTTATTTATAATCCCAGCAATTTGAGATTTTTTTTTGGTCTTTATTGGGAGCAAATATACCAGCTTCCAATAATATTTTATCTTGGGTGGTTTCCAGGGTGGACAGTGGTATTAACTATGTCCCTCTGAGTCCAAGTAGGAGTGGGGAGTGTCTGGGATGTGACAGCTTTTCCAGACCCTGAAAGTGACCATGAAATGATATGTTGTGCTGCTTGATTCAAGCTAGGCTACCCCTTGTTTGGCTTTCACTGCAGTTTAATTTTAAGGATTCTGATTGAGACGTTAAACTACCTTAAATTGTAAAATGACTTTGAAGTGACCCTGGGAAAGGGAGACTGTTGCAAACTCAGGTAGTTCCAGCAGCAGGGGCCAGTGAGCTCGTGTTCTCTCCCTTGGCAGGATGGACCTGGCTTCTACACCACCAGGTGTCTCGCACCCATGATGTCTGAAGTCATCCGAATCCTCCAGGTTGGTATTGCTCTCTGGAGCATGTGAGGCATCTTCCATTCCTTCAGTCACTCTAAACTGATAAAGTCGAGATAAGAAACAGGTTTCCTTCTGATACACCAACTCCTGACTGTTGTCCAGAAAGGTCCCTTGTGCTCTTCGTGTGTGTGCAACCGTGGGAAGCAGGGGGTCATACTGCACTCACGGGGCAGAGCTATAACTCTGCTCCTCACTACTCTGTCAAGCCCCAGGCCTCCCAACATGCCTTATATGCTGTTTCTGCACCCCTGGGAGGCAGGGACCATCCAGAACAGGGCCCGCTTGGTCCATCTGGTGCTGCATCTGCTTCTGCAGCACACAGACCCCTCCAGTGGCCATCCAAGTCATTCTGGCAGGAAAGGAGGGGGACCCTCCCCATGGGGCACTCACCCTGACTCGGGGGTCTTGGGGCTCTCCAGCACTACTTTTTGATAATATTTTTCCTGTCGGTCGTGACACACTCAGCCCTGTCTGTTATGGAATCACTTTATTACTGAGATTCAGAAATTCAAATTAGAAGGTCAGCTGCAGTGGCTCACATCTGTATTCCCAGCACTTTGGGAGGCAGAGGCAAGAGGATTGCCTGAATCCAGGGGTTCAAGAACAGCCTGGGCAACTTGGCAAGACCTTGTCTCTACAGTAAACCAAAAAATTAGCCAGGCATGGTGGCACATGACTGCAGTCCCAGCTACTTGGAAAGTTAAGGCAGAATGATCACTTGAGCCCAGGAGGTCTAGGCTGCAGTAGCTGTGATCGTACCGCTCAACTCCAGCCTGGGTGACAGATTGAGACTCTGACTCAAAAAAAAAAAAAAACTACAAACAAGCCAGGCTCAGTGGCTCAGCCTGCAATCCCAGCACTTTGGGAGGCCGAGGTGAGTGGATTGCCTGAGGCTGCGGGTTCAAGACCCACCTGGGCAACTTGGCAAGACCTCATCTCTACAATAAATCAAAAATTAGTCGGGCGTGGTAGCGTGCGCCTATAGTTCCAGCTACTTGGAAGGCCGAGACGGAAGGATCACCGGAGCCCAGCAGGTCGAGGTTGCAGGGGCTAGGAGCAGCCACTGCACTCCAGTCTGGATGACAGAGTGAGACTTCAACTTAAAAAAAAAAAATACAAACAAGAAGGAAGTGAATAGTTAAAGCCCTACAGATTAGAGAAGTCTCAAACTTTACACTTGTGGGCTCCCAAGCTTCTTTGTGCTTCCCTGAATGAAATAGACTAGACCTGGGCCTGGCTGGGTGACACCCAGAAGAGAGGTGGGTTTTGCACAAGGCTGTGTCTGGGGCCATTATAGGAAACCCTAGGAGATCTAAACTGGCCTTCCCCTGAGGTCCCTGCTTCACCTCCTATCAGGAAGAAGTTGACCCTAAGAAGCTGGATTCCCTGACCACAAGCTTTGGCTTTCCTGTGGGTGCTGCCACACTGGTGGATGAAGTTGGTGTAGATGTCGCAAAACATGTGGCAGAAGATCTAGGCAAAGCCTTTGGGGAGCGCTTTGGAGGTGGAAGCCTGGAGCTCCTGACACAGATGGTGTCCAAGGGCTTCCTGGGTGAGTAATCCAAGGAAACAAAACTAGCATGATTAGTTACAAAGTTCTGAGCAGTTTCCTGAGAGCAGAGAGTTACAGAAGGCCCATGTGGAGGGAGGAGTTTTCTAAACGCAGAGCCCTTGTCATTGGGGATTTCAAAAATTATTTCATGAACCAGGTGTGGTGGTGTACACCTTGCGTAGTCCCAGCTACTTGGGAGGCTGAGACGGAAGGATCACTTGAATCCAGGAGTTCAAGACCAGCCTCAACATAGCGAGGCCCCTTCTCTTTAAAAAAAAAAAAAAGATTTCATGAACACTTCCTCTTAGGCTGAACCTAGGGATTACTGACAAAAGGCAGCATTCTACCCTTCTGAGATTCTGCCATTACCTGGTCCAAGGTGCCCAATAGACAGGCGTTTTCGTCCTGCCTAAGGCCTCTACTGCATCTATGATACTGCAGGGGCAGGCTCTGCATCTAGGCTTTACCATGTTGTCTGGCCACCTGTGGGAAGAAAGTAAAACCTCACAATTCAGAGCACACAGTTGAGGTCCACAGAGAAGTGGCTGTCTCTCCACAGAAGAGCAAAACCACCATTACAACCTGGGAATCCCGGGGCCTGGTGTTGCATGTCTGGACTTAAAATTCACCCAGGTGACCTTTCTCTGCCAAATTTCCAAGCTCTAGGAACACAAGATCTTTCTTCTCTCTCTGCCAACTCTTCTGCAAAGACTAAATTGCTAGGGTTAGCTAGGTATACACATTTAGGAATTCAGAAGAGAGCCAGAGATTTATAGCAGACCAGCAGAAACAAAAATTCTCAGGCCAGGGTTCTGAGAACAAACAAATAGCAATGTTCCCTTTTCTTCTTATAGGTCGCAAGTCTGGGAAGGGCTTTTACATCTATCAGGAGGGTGTGAAGAGTAAGAATCTGAATTCTGACATGGATAGTATTTTGGCAAGTCTGAAGATGCCACCTAAGTCTGAAGTGTAAGTGTATTTGAGTGGCCAGTAACCTGGAAACAGACATTTCTCAGGGAGCCCAGGGTTTCTCAGCCCCTCTTCCGTTTCATGACCACCATATCTGAACAGAAGGGACACTCCCAATGCTAGCATAGTGCTTTACAGGGTAAAGCCCTAGCACATGGCACCTCAGTCTGTGCCAGGTGTTGAGGTGAGAACCATGCCCAGTCTGGTGAAGGCCCCTTCCTGCTCCAGCCTTCCCTGTGAAGGTCCCAGGGAGCAGCTGAAAGGACAATTCTCCCTGTCAGCCCCCCAGATTATTACCATTTGTGCAATTGACTATTTCTTATGTCAAGAGATACTGTCTCTTGGCCAGGCTCAGTGGCTCAGCCTGTAATCCCAGCACTTTGGGAGGCCGAGGCAAGTGGATTGCCTGAGCCAGTGAGTTCAAAACCCACCCGGGCAACTTGGCAAGACCTCGTCTCTACAATAAATCAAAAAAAATTAGCCGGGCATGGTATTGTGCGCCTATGGTTCCGGCTACTCGGAAGGCTGAGGCGGAAGGATCGCCGGAGCCCAGCAGGTCGAGGCTGCGGTGGCCGGGAGCAGCCACTGCACTCCAGTCTGGGCGACAGAGTGAGACTCCAACTCAAAAAAAAAACAACAGATACTGTCTGCTTGGTGTAAGGCCGTGTTCTAGGGGCTCAGTAGGGAACACTCCACTTTAACAAGGGACAGACTGGCCCCCCCATCCGCGTCTTCCTCAGGAGGGTCGATACTGGCCTGCCGAGCCTCCCGCAGCCATCCTCACTTCATGTTGTGCACTGCCTTCCTCCTGCCTTCCTCTCCCTAAATGCCCCTTCCTGTTGGCAGCTCCTCTGACGAAGACATCCAGTACCGGCTGGTGACAAGATTTGTGAATGAGGCTGTCATGTGCCTGCAGGAAGGGATCTTGGCCACGCCTGCAGAGGGAGACATCGGAGCAGTCTTTGGGCTCGGTTTCCCCCCTTGTCTTGGAGGTTGGTCTTGCAGGCTGGGAAGGAGTTCACCTGTCCTAGAGCTCTGTTGCTGTCTCCTTCAACAAAGTCCTGTTTCTCCACTCAGGGCCTTTCCGCTTCGTGGATCTCTATGGTGCTCAGAAGGTTGTGGACCGGCTCAAGAAGTACGAGGCTGCCTATGGAAATCAGTTCACCCCGTGCCAGCTGCTCATTGACCACGCTGCCAGCCCCAGCAAGAAGTTCTACCAGTGAGTGGCCTCACGCCTCTCAGTCAGTGCACTAACCCAGCTTCTGGCAATGCTGGTTCTCCACCAGAGCGGTGTCTAGATTGCACACAGTAACCAGAGGAAGACAGACTCTGGCACTGGGTTGCTCTTTGATTAAAGTGCCTTCAGCTGTGACCATCTCGCCCTTCTGGTGAAGTCTGTGAATCAGGTTGCACTTCATGTCGGGAGGCGGAACCCACTGTGCTCATTTTGTAAGTTCCAAGGCCCAAGTGGCAGCTAAGAGCCATCTGGAGCCATCTTTGCTGCCTGTTCCTCACAGAAGGCCAGGGTGGCCAGTGGTGATGGGTGAGAATAGTTCTGCACCCAGCCAAACAGTAACAATAAAAACCAAACTCGGTATCAGCCTCGCTGCCTGCTGGTTCCTTCTTCTTGTCTTTGCCCATCTGGTTTGAACCCCTCCTTCACAAAGTGAGCTGGGGGTAAGGTGAAAAAAGAGAAGCTAGAACAAAGCCCTGTGCTCTGGGAGTAAGAAAGTGTCGAGAGAGTTCTAGGCAGCTCCCTAGGAGAGAGCTAGGGGAGGACAGATGGCGTCAGTGTGCCTGACACCACATCAGCCTGTGTAAGTGCCGTGGCTGGGCTCCTGCCCCCATGGGGCGTGGCCCTGGCTGACCAGCAGCAGCCACGTGGTGGGTGTGGTACACCAGGATGTGAAGGACACACTCCCCAGATTGGATTTCCTCGCCGTGCGATTCTGCCCATGTCTTCTCCTGGCATGCCTCACTCGTGTTGCTCCTCCGGTGTCTGTGGGAACACTGGAGGTCAGCAGAGGAGCTGACATGTCCCCGATGTTTAGTGACTTGCACGTCATAGCGGCCCCGGAACACGGACGAAGCCTGTGCAGGTCAGAGGCAGCACCAGCAGTCAGAGGAACATGATTCGCCCCACACCACCTGCTCTCTGCTGTGGCCTCAGCTCCCCCAGCGTAGCCCCTGTTGTGGAAAGTTCCTACACTTGAGCTCTGGCAGAGGCAGTGAGTGCTCTGTCTGGGTAAACAGCGCTGGGGCCCCTGACTGGGTCTGGCAGAAGGACCCACACAGTGTGTGTGCAGAATCATAATTCAGCCCGTCACACTCTGCATCTTAAACTGTCAGATATTACCAATTACTCCTGCCACTGATCCAGTTGCAAGTGCTTCAAATATTTCCCCGGTCCCAGCTCTGTGTAGCAGGGAGCTCAGCTCTGGTGCTACTCAACACCAACGCTGGTTGCTAGGAAGCCAGACCCTGGAACAAGGTATCTCTGAGCTGGGGTTTTCAGATGACCAGTCCAGGTTACACAACTGATCCTCTGGACCAAGGCCAACAACAAGCTCCTCAATGTGGGGGTCTGAGAAGCTCAGGCATTCTGCCAATGTGACATTAAACTTGAGCGCTGGCTGGTGGGATTGAACTCTGTCTTTTTCTTCAGTGACATCAGGTGGATGTCAAGTATGTCAAAACATCGGTGGGAACTGGAAGGTTCTTGGAGGGAAGGGACTGGTGAGGGCCTTGCAGAAGGGAATGAAGGCTGCTACCAGCTGCTCCCGGATGTGTGAGTGGGCCACACATCATCCCGAAGTCCTCTCCTGTCCAGAGGAATACACACTGTGCCCAGGGATCCCCATGGCCCTCCAAAAAAAGGAAGCAGTCGACACTCAGAATTCCACTGGCACTATACTCCGTGATCTAGCATTTATTTCCCCGATCCTTGAGAACTCATTAAGTGATCTGCAAGAAAACCAAATGTCTCTGCATCACAGTGTCCAGGCTCTACTCTGACTTCCCTTCTCAGAGTGGAGGCAGCCTGCCTGGGCCTGGACACCAGCATGGCTTAGCTACTCTGAAGTTAAAGAAAAAAAACAGAGGAAATAAATATCTAGGTAGACTAGGTATGGGAGGAGAGAAGGCTGGTACTTCTGGGGCCCTGATGCTTGTGGGCATTCTGTCACTCTGGAGTGTGAGACAGGGAAGAGCACAGGTGGTAGTACACAATGCCCAGAGCCCTGGGCACCAAGCATTATCACCATGTTTGAGATCCAAGGACACAGGACATGCTCTGAAGCAATGTGAACAAATGCAGAGGGACAGAGCATCAGGACCAAGAAAGGCAGGCCTTCCCAAGCCACTGCACTTTCTCTCTCCCAATTGTACCCCTCCTGTGCCAGAGACAGAAAGCCAGGGAGGTAGGGATAGTGGCTCACACCTGTAATCTCAACACTGGAAGGCCAAGGCAAGAGGATTGCTTGAGTCCAGGAGTTTGAGACCAGCCTGGGCAACATAGCAAGGCCTCATCTCCAAAAAAGAAAATTTACTGGGCATGATGGCACACACCTGTAGTCCCAGCTACTCGGGAGGCTGAGGCAGAAGGACTGCCTGAGCTCAGGAGGTTGAGGCTGTGGTGAGTAGGGATCGTGGCACTGTGCTTCCGCTTGGGCCACAGAGTGAGACCCTGTCTCAAAAAAAGAAAAGAAAAGAAAACCAGGGAAAGACCCAAATGTTCATCAGAGTCACATGACAGCAGGAGACTGGCAGAAGTACAAGTGGCTGACCACCGCCTGCTTCTAGAATCAAAGAGCAGCTGATCTAAATCTACCTGCTTTTTCACTCTCAAGCTGAACCCCACTGACAGGTGGATGACCAGTTGCAGTGAAGTTTGGGCAGAAGCCAGGGCTCTCAAGATGTCTGGGGAGCGTCTGCCTCCCTAGCTAGATAAGCAGGTCAACAGCAGAGCTGTGCTCTTCCCAAGTTAACACCCAAGAACCAGAACCCAGAAGTGGAGCCCACCGGCTTGTCCACAATCCGCCTGCATTCAGGGCCAGACACAAATCACTGTGGAACACAGTGGGGGCAGGGTATCCCAGAGGCACAGAAAGCAATACTCCTGACTCAGGTGGCTTTAGGCCAGAAGCCTGCAGAGCACACAGGAGAGTGGGCACTTGGGGGATTTGTGCTTCAGTTCTGGGCCATCTTCCTTGTCTCTAACCTGAACCTACAAGCTTAGGAGTGCAAGACAGCTGTGAGGTCTGCAGTGGGCATGGGAAGGTGTTGGGGCACCATGAAGGCCAGCCTGTGGCCTGCTGGGGGAATCAGAGCAAGTGCCTCACCAGGCCCAGGTGCACAGTGGTGCCTCCAGGCCCCTCCCCACACATTCCGCACACTCAAAGGCAAGACATCCCGTGCAGGGGTCTGACCCCAGAGGACCACATTTCCAAGTGCGTCTCCCTGGATCCACTGGGTCTTAGCATAGACTCTCCCAGTAGCCAGGCCCTGCTTCTCTGGGAGTGCTGTCCCCAGGCCTCTGTGCCAGCATTCTCGCTGTGCAGCTCAGGCCGGCTAGTTCAGATCTTGGGCCGCCAGCCTTTGATGAACTGCATGATCTTCTTGACCTGCAACTTGGTGAGGTGGAAGTCGTCTGCCAGGATGTCCTCACTGAGCTGCACAAAGATGCTGCCATCGATGCGTTCTCGGGCAAAGAAGCTCACCACGTCCTCCGAGAGCCCAATGAAACGCAGACTGCGAGAGACCTCCTCCAGGGAGAGTGCAGACAGGTCAGCGGGGGGCTGCCAGGAGGCGGCATCCCGGCCTCCGAAGCCTGTGGCTCCATCCCAGGGACTGGCAGGAGGCCCTTCCAGGCGCCCTTGAGTGAGAAAGAGTCGTGCTCCTCCTGCCTCAGGCCCCTGCAGGGCAGCTGGTGACAGTGGGGTGGGGACCTGCCGCAGCACCAAACCTTCAGGCTCGAAGGCCTTGGGGGCACCAAGCGGTGAAAGGTGGGGGCCGGGCCCAGCCACCCCCATGGCTCTGGGCTCCTGACCGCGTCGCAGCTCAGGCTCTGGAGAACTGCCCTGCCCCAGCTCAAAGGGATCGAAGGGCTCCAGGGCCGGTTCCTGCCATTCAGAGGAAGAGGAAGAGGACGTGGGACAGGAGGCCGGGGGAGCAGCTGAATAGGCCTGGCCTGGCGAGACCGGGCCTGGGGAGTACGCAGGGCTGGAGGTAGCCACGGGCCCCGAGGTTGCTGTGGGCCCAGAAGAGGCCGCCGTAGGGCCGGAGGGGTAGGTGGGCCCGGAGAAGGGGTTGAGCGCTCCAAACGGAGCGAAGCGCTTCTGGGGGTGCGAGGGCTTGAGCAGAGGTGGGCAGCTGTGGTAGGTCTTGGCAGGGGTGTCGGCCCCCAGGAGGGAGGTGGCGCGACCACTCAGGGGCTCGGCAAGGACCCTGGAGGCCTGGCTGGGCTGCGTGGTCGAGGGCAGTGGTCCGGGCGGCGGGCGGCTGGAGGGCTCGCCCACCTTGCAGTCTCCCCAGGTGCAAGGGTAGCAATAGAGGGAGTAGGCGTCCGGCGACGGGGAGCCGCTGCCACTGCGGGAGCCCACCCTGTGGCAGAGACAGACAGACGTCCAGGACAGGTAAGGCAGAGCGAGGGGGACGCGGCAGCAAGCCACCTCTCTAATCTCAGCAACACGGCCTGTGCCCCGGCCCCCAGAGCCCGCGACCCTCTGAGAGTGCCCTGTTCCTTCTTCCAGCGTCCCCAACCCAGGGCAGAAAACACAAGGGGAAGAATTACACTAGCGGGGCTCGGTGGCTCAGCCTGTAATCCCGCACTTTGGGAGGGTGAGGTGAGTGGA